GTAGACCACAGAACCACAGTTGACAGACACAACTCACAACAACTCGAGCGATGCGACACGCAACGGACGCGTCGCAGGAACAGGCAGCGCCAGCGCGAGCGAACATCGAACATCCATCGCCTGCCAGAACTGAAGCGGCGACCCTAGCGGCAGCTCCGGAACTAGCGAATGCAGTCGCGCTTGTCCGTCTGTTACAATGCCCTTCCCAGCGAAACAATATTTATCTTTTGGCAATGGCCAAGGGGCTCAAGTACCGTTGTTGTAGTTCTGTACGGGAGAACCCCATCAAAAGAAATCCTGATGTTTGTGGTACTAGGACTCAGCTGAAGAGGACGGTGACAACGAGGACAACGCATCAGACGACTCGGACGAGGACTCAGACGGTAGCGGCAGCACCTCCGGGACCACCTCTTCGGACTCAAACAGTAATTCGTCTGCGGACTCTTCATCCGAGTCAGGATCTACAGTCTCGTCGGACGGGTCGAGCTCGACCACTAGCGAGACTCGGCCGACGAACCAAACGACCCTTTGGGATGGTAGGCGAACTGCTGGGACTGTAACCAATGTTGAGCATGGGGACGCCAAACAAACGGTTTGCCTTGCCCCGGCCAGGCGCGGCGCGGTGCCAGGGCAGCAGCCGCGGGCTGGTGGTGACGGCGCGGGGGCGGCACGTGGAGGTCTCGCACCTCAGCGACATCGTGGGCTCGCAGCTGGAGGGCGGCTGCGTCGCCGGCGTCGAGCGTCGGCGACGATCCTCATCGGAGGACAGCGACCGCACTCGAGGGCGAGGACGGGGGCGGGGGCGGGGGGCGCGTCCTCGGGCACAACAACTACCACCCCCGCCGCGGGCACCGCCGAGGGCCTTGCCTCCCGTCCTACCGGCGCCCTTAGCCAAGCAGTCCCAGCCCCACGCCAGAGACAGAAGCCGGGGCCGCACGGCCTCCACTGCCGCCGAGGCACGACGGGCAGCTGTTCGCACCGGGGCCGTGCCCCGCCGGCCCGCCCCGGCCGCAGCCCGCGCCCGCCCCTCTCCACCCCCGGCCCGGAACCCGCGACCTTCCCGGCCTCGCGGAAGGGGTGCGGGCAACAGGAACATCACAAAGGTAAAGTGTGGCTGGTCAGGAGAGGCGGAAACCTTGCGATACTCCACTAACGACTCCAGTTGTAATGACTTTCACCTCAGGACTTCTTTTTGGTGCCTTTAGGTTGTTCGTAACGGCCGCCTCGCTACGGTCCTGGTCCTGGGCAACTACTCCAGTTCGTCCTCTGCCTCCTCCTCAACCACAACCACGACTCCATCCTCGTCCTCCACCTCTGGCCAGTTGACCACTAGCAGCAGCGAGTACACCTCCTCTGAACACACCTCCAGCTCCGGAACGTCTGGCCCGGACGAGTCAGACAGCCTCACTGCCCTAGACATCAAGCTCCACTCGATTTTCTACAACTGAAACAGCCACCAAAACGAAAAAAAAATGGGAAAATGAAAACATTTAAATCCTTTACGAGAATAAAAATATGTAAAATATGGTGAACGGTGGTAAACGTGTGTCCCTTTCCTGCTCGTCACCTCTTGGGACGCCGACACGAGCGGCCCGTCCAGGGGCTGGGAGATAAAGCCCAGGTGCGCTGTGACCTTTCGCGCCGCGGGCCGCGGAGGTGTCGACAAGGGGAGCGCCGTCGTCCCACCGGTGCTGCTGGGGCAACGAGGTGCCTCCCAAAGGTGGACCAAAATTACGAGCACTTTTTTCTTATCGTGGGAAATGGGGTGGGGGCGGTAAAAGAAGAGGGAGAGAGAGAGAGAGAGAGAGAGAGAGAGAGAGAGAGAGAGAGAGAGAGAGAGACGGGCGCTGAGTGCCGGGGTTGACGGTTTGCATCTCAAGTAGCTGGCCGTGGAGGAAGGCATAGGCAGGGCGACGAAAATGGACCGCTCTGGTCCGGCCGAAGCAGCTCATTAGTAACCACGGGTGAAACTATACCGAGCGGCAGGGAAGGCTGGACAGCCAGATTGTTTCTCTCTGCGTCATTCAGGCCACGTCCCGATGGACCACCTCATGCATGCGGACCAAAACTTCTTCATATTCCTTCTTTTTTTAAGCAGCGCCGACTAAACTCACAAGTGGTCCACTATACTACTAGGCGCCCCCCGTCAACGCGCTTTCAACGCCGTCGTTTCAGAGAAATAAATCCAGGTTTGCTCTTCTTTAAGACCATCACTTCTTTCCTCTGCTGCCCGGAGGTAATTAAAGCGGAAAGGCTGGCCTCTTATCGCGATTCGAATAATACACTCTGAGAATGTGCGGGGGAACATGCGCCGGCCTTGTCTGCTGCTCGCCATTTGCCAAACAGGCCAACAACGCCGAGGCCTCCCTCCGCTAGCTCCACGCCACGCCAAGCCACGCCACACTGCAGCCCCTCCCGCTTGCATGCTGCCGGCCGCGGACGATCTGGTGATAGGACCTTCTCAGCAGCAGCACGGCTCCGCTTCCCTTCCGACCCGGGCGGACGGGACGGGGCCGACGGCCGGTACGATGTCATCTCCTGGTCCGGGCCGTGAGAGACACGCGAGCGCCAGCGGCCACCTGCCGGCCGCCCCGCCCGCGCCCGACCAGCCCGACCAGCCCGCGAGGCTGAGCAGTGGCGGGCCCCCGCGTGCTCCGATAGCGCGACGAGCGCGACGCAGCACTCTGCGGCGGCAATCACCAAGAGAGGAGCATTTTCTATCAGCGGCATTGAGTGCGTACGGGCCTGGCCAGGCCCCGCCGGCGCGGCTCCGCCCCGCGCGACGCCCTCCAGGGGGGCGTGTCGGGCCGCGCGCCGATAGTGCCTGTCGCGTCGCACGGAGGAGCGCGGCGCAGTGCGCTCAGTTGGGCTGCGCCGTGCGTGCGCGATGCCACCGACCCCCCGGCCCCGATGATGGCGATGGCCTCGGCGAGGGTCGTCGGCGTCCTGGTGCTGCTGGCCGGTGCCGCGGCGGGCTCGTGCGTGGCCCGCGAGGACCCCATGCACACGCAGCAGCTCCGCCAGGCCCTGCTGTGCTCGTACGACCCGGTCGCCGGCCCGACCTCCAACTCTACCGGGCAGGCCCGAGTGCAGGTCACCCTGCTCCGCTCTCGCATGGACGTGGACGAGGCCACCAACACCCTCACCCTGTTCGGCTACCTTGTCCTGAGCTGGAGGGACGAGTGGCTTATGTGGGACCGCGCGGCCCATCCCAACGTGACGCGCCTCTACGTGGACTCGGAGGAGATATGGACGCCATCCATCGCCTTGCTCGAAAACCCCACGTCAGTGCTAAAGAGCAGTCAGGTAAAGTTTATAAGAGTCTGAAGGAACCGTACATAAACGCCATTAAATTACAAGGTAGACGCACGTTAAAACCGTGTGAAGCTGAGCTAAATGTGCGTCTACCTTGGCCTGCGGCGCGCTTAAGTTGAAATGTTTTGGCGATTTTTGTTGGCATGCCTGTCCACCTCACATCCCACGTCTCACTCCAGGCGCCTCACGTCACGCCGTCTTCCGGGCGGTCTTCCCTTGCGCTTCCTGACAGAGCTGAGCATTTAAAGTTAAAGTTTAGTTTCAAGTTCAAGTTAAGCTCAGCAATAATATACTTAAATACAGGGTGTCCCCTGTAGACCTTGTAAAATGTTTTGTTACAAAGTACTGCTTCCGTATGCCTACCTATAGTCGGTCAGCCGCGTACGCAACCTACCCACACAACTGCATGCAGTACAGTATAAGCAAAAATAGTACCGAGGGGAAGGGCCAGGTTCTCCTTCCTGCCCGGGCCGCTGCTGACGGAAGGCAAACATTCGGACGGCGTGCACTGGTCTGGTACATAACCTACCCCAAACATTTCTCTTCCGCCCTGCAGGCGCTGGTCGTCAACGGTACCGTGGTGTACAACCTCCTGGTGCCGCTCCGGGCGCCGTGCCTCAGCGACGCGTCCCGCTGGCCGTACGACCGGGTGGTGTGCAACATGAGCATCGTCAACCTCAGTCCGGGCACGGCCAAGCTCAACAATTCCGCCATGCAAATCGGCTTGGTGCGCTGGCGGTAAGTCCTCCCGGGCGCCTTTCGTTGTCATAGTGGCACGTTTGCGGACGTGTCGTGTTCCTCCCGACCCCGTGCTCGTAGGCCACCCGCCCGCACGCCTGTGTGCGCTGCAGTGTCAACTAACACCCTCACGCCTCTATGCCGCCGTGTCCTCCAGGAGCCGGGGCTGGTCTCTAAAGGCCGTGTCCATGAAGCCGTTCCGCTCGCCGGGCTTCCTGGACGGGCTGCTGGTGCGCGTGGAGGCCAAGCGCAGCGCAGCCATGCACGAGGCGACCGCGGTGGTGCCCGTCGTGCTGCTGACGCCCCTCATGCTCGCTTCCCTCTGGCTGCCCGCGCACACGCCGCAGCGGCCGCTGCTCCTCTGCTCCGTCATCCTCCTGCAGGTGGGCACCCTGTGCCGGGTACAGTCGAGCCAACTAAACTCGTCGCGAGGGTTGTCAATAATGTGCGCGGTGTGCGCGTCGCGCCCGCAGATCATGCTGAGCGTGGTGGTGCCGCTGCACATCAAGGTGGTGGGCGTGCGGCCACCCGACATCCTGCTGCTGCTGCGCGACTCGCTGCTGGTGTCCGGGGCGGCGCTGTTGCAGTGGATGCTGGCGCGCTGGCTGCTGCTGCGCGAGCCGGCGGCCTGGCCCTGGCCCCTCGGGGTACTCGCCGACCTGGCCGCGGACGGGGGCTCTCACCTCGGCGCCGTCCTCTGCTTGCCTCCGGTGAGCGGCCAGGACTGCGCGCAGTCCGGGGCCTCTGACCACAAGGCCATCCGCATGTCCGCCATCACGGACAGGACCACCTTCGTGGTGCTGACTGTGCTTAGCGTCGCGCTCTCCGTGCGCCTCCTGCCATGAGCAATCCAGCCCAGCCACATACTTGCCTATTTCCGTGATCTTCGAAATGTAATAATAATATTAACAATAGTATCGACAATAATTGTGCTGAATATCTACGATATTGGGCCGCGTCACGACCGGGGCCGCACGGCTCCGTCCCTGCTGCATGCACAAACCAGACCGGGCCTAATTGTTTACAACAATGCAGCCGTGTCCTCCTCATATCGTGCATGTCGTTCCCAATGCTGCAGGAACCCACAGGAAAATATGAACACATTAAGACGAAATCACAACCAGCGACCTCTCTATTTTGTAGAACTCGCTCATTGTCTGCGATATCTCGTGAGCACGAGAGCGCGGGGGACCTCTGACCCGCCTGGGCCGCCGGCATTGCATACAGCTGTGTGCCCCCTATCCTTTCAACTTCCCCTTTCCCAGCTTGCACCGCGTGCACTACTTGTTTTTCGTGTTATTATTCCTTCCGAGGCGATCATGGAGAAGGCACAACAAAAGTGCAAGTGCACATAATAAATGGGGTATCTCAGCAAACCTCATACCGGAAAACGGAAACGCAGTAAACTCTGCTTTAGTGTGCAGTTTACACGAACGAAACCAAAACAACCACACCGAACCGATCCGAACAACCCAACCACCCTAACCACGCCTACCAAAACCGGTACGGTCCTGACTCAACAAGAACTATGCCCCTCCCCCCAACCACCCCAAGAAAAAAACAAACTCTCGACCACACGACCGCCTCCTTTTAGCTGTGCATTTCCAGTTATTTCATCCCCACCTCAAATTTTGTTGGGTGAACCTCGACCCCTTTCTTGCGACCCTCCCACTTCGCAAGACAGAGGCGGCACCGCATCGCATAGCGCCATCCAGCCGTAGCAGTCGTCCTGCCGACTGGTCCAGGCAAACAAACGGCGGTGCCACATGAGTGCGACAAGGACGGTGGTACGAAGGCGCTCGCGCTCTTCGGAATCAGTCGGCGCCGGGGTGCAGCGGCTGCGGAAGCACCGCCCTCATAGCGCTTTGTCAGGCGTTGGCGGGCGCGACGGGCGCCGCGGTCGACACGAGTGGCGGCACACGTCCGGGACGGCGAGGCGTGCTTTTGGCGTGCGCAGGCGCCGCCCAGCCGCTGCACCACACCACAAGCAGCGCGCTGCGGC